CTGGCACGTCAAACAATTTTCTTCCCGTAAATTAATCACGGACGCGGGAGGCGCACGCGTGGCGACTTGGATGTGCCCTTTTTTCGAGGAGCACTCGATTGTTCCTTGTTCTTGTTCTTGGGTACTTGTTCTTGGTCTTGTCCTCCACCGTGCTGTCTATTGTCTTTTTCTCCGTACGTTTATCGGCAAGAGGCTCTCATCTCATCTTCTCAGGACACCCCGCTACCCGGATACTCGGATACTTGACGTCGTCCCAAGTTGAACGCGAAACAAAATACCCCCGATCTACCCGATCTGCGCGCGTCACCTACAGTGACAGCTTGAATAGATGGATAATCATGATCACGGACGAGGAGGCGCGCGCTGACTCGGTCATTTTTTTTCTGCAGCATTCTGCGACGTTCGATCATTTCTCCTGTATTTTTAGCTGCTGGATTTTCTCCCTCGATCTCTCTCTATGCTGCAGAACAACTTCACCAAATATCTCATGTCGCATAAATCCAGCACCTATCTCTGGTCTGATGTTTACATCCGGCCTCGACCCATCATTCTCGGGCCCGGAGAAAATGCCGCAAATTGACGCATCACTGACGCACCATTGACGCATCATTGACGCATCGCGTTCCCGCCCTTGTAATTCGCTGTTTGTGATACTCAAATTAAGACTAAACAGCGCCATATTGTGTCAGAAGAAGATAAAAGCGCAATACAACACTTTAATCCTCTAAATTCCCTAAATTTGAACGAAGTACAACCTCATTTTATATGCTAAGGTACCTTCCAGTCTTCTATTAGCGTTTCAAATGTTTGCAACACTGGTATATGGATTAAAATGACCCTGTGATGGCCGCAAATGCATGATGGCCGCAAATGCACGGTTGAATTTGGGGTGGATGCGTCAAAATGCGGTAGGGATGCGTCGACGATGCGGCAGGGATGCGTCAATGATGCGTCAACAATGCGGCAGTGATGCGTCAACCTTGCGGCAGTGATGCGGCACAGATGCGGCAGTGGTGCGTCGATTGCGGCAACGGTGCGTCATGGCTGCGGTAGCGATGCATCAAGCTGCAGCACAATGTGTTCAATAGTTTCACTGCATTGGCTTGAGCTAATAATTCCATGCTAACACCTGAACATCTGGTTGCTTCTGCTTCCTTTGCAAAACTGGACCGATGTGTCATGTTTAAAATGTGAACGTCAAGGCAATTGTCGGACAAAAGCCGACAAGAACTTAAATTAGTGGGACCCTGTTGTTAGGCCTGTAGGATGCCGAAGAATGATCCCTTTAAATACAACCTCAGACATTACAATGCCCACGACTTGGTTGAACGTTCACAAGTAGTGCATTGTTCTTCCCATTCAAGCTTTGACAGTGGTGCAGCCATGCACATATTGGTTACAGTGTTATGCCCACCCAATTTCCCTTCACAAGGATGGAGAGAGTAGAGAAAATATTTCTACCTATTCATGGTTCAATGGACACTTTTGCTATTCGCAAAGTCTAGCCTGACTTTTGCATGCGCCGGAGTATTTATTGTCTCTGGCATGATGGGTCAGGGAACAGTGATGCGCACGACATCAGTGCGCTAGCTCTCTGTCATGTAGGACCACTTGAGATGCTTATATCTATCTATGTAGGGCACCCCTCTCTCCGTAACTTGGATAATAATCCATTGCTTAATTATTTATCTCCAGGTCAAATGTCAACATGCTTGCATATTTCCCCATAGACAGATTTGTGACTTTTACACCCAGCCCCAGTCTAACCTCACAGGCAGGGATAATATTCGTTGAATCAAAGTGATAGCGGGTAGGAAACATTTTAGTGCCATCTGTTAGAGAGTCTATCCACTTTCTTGTTTCCCTAAGGGGTATTGTGGCTAGGTGAATCTGTCAGACTTGCGGAAGTTACTTCAGTAAAAATGACTGTCATCACTTTAATAGTGGTGACTCTGAAACTTGTGGCTCCACCTCTCCCGAAGTTTCTACTTCAGGACACCCGAGCGAGTCGTGACATCTTCCCAACGCTGAGATTTCAGCTGTTCATCTAGCGGCCGCCGGCTAGTTCTTATGATAAGAAAAGTGAACATCGCCGAGATGCCCGAGAAAGACATCAGTTATGAAACATAAATTCATACCTTGTTCCACCCTGGAACGTGGTGATTCGGTTTGTGATCCCAAGCTATTAGTTGCTGTAGCCCAGTTTTCGTTTTGGCAAAGTGACCGGGTTACCTGGATTTTGAAGGGAAAGGGAGTAAATTCGGAGCGGAAGGATCTGCCTGTATGCTCAGATACAGCAAAGATCGGGCCAAACCTGGACATTTGGTTTAAGCAGTCCGGATCGCCTGAAGTACGCCCCTCCTTAAGGCCGTATGCAAAAGATCCCTGTGTTCAAAAGCGAAGCTGAGCCACTCGGTGGGTCATGGCATATTGTTACAAAAGCTTCTACTTCCTTAATTCAAAGCCCATTCATGTATCCCTCCAGTCATCTGACATTCCAAAGAGTAATTACTATCCTGTACATTGCATGAAATCATCCCAGACTTTTGATTATTGTTTGCGGCAAAGGATTGCCAATGAGAACAGCGGTTCAAAACAGTGCAGAGGGGAATCCCTAACTCGGTCAGGAATATATTCCTAGAGTCCGCACGAACTGGTGCCCATGAAACTCAGGGGCTTGTTATATCCGGTCAGTGGTGCGCCAGATGCCGGCTGTTGGAAATTCAACACGATGGAAAACATCTCATTCCGTATGCACTGGTAACTGATACAAGCGCGCGATTACCTTGGGCAGCTATATGCAGCATTGATAATCGTTCCAGCTGATTTGAAGTCAATGTTGAATTGGTATTGACATAGGGAGCAAGATAATCAGAACAATATTTGATCCCTTCGTGTCTCTTCGGGTATATTCTTTCCGCTACATTATGAATCATTCGTAGAGACAGCTCAGGCCCAGCCTCTTGTGCTGCAAAGTAGATGTCAATGGATTGCGATGATTTTTTGCATCCTCTGAAAATTAGGTCACTGTGTCCCACATGTTGTAACTTACCATACCCCATACATACTTAGTACTTACCTACTTAGTGTATTGCCGCGTAGCCTTTAGGGCCAGGTACGGTGTAAACAGAACTTCAAATCAAATCAAAAATCAAAAAAAGCGATGATTTTATCCGGAAAAAGAATCCCCTGCGTTAATTTTCGGTAAGGCCCCCAGAGCACTGGCGAATAAACGCAAGGTCACGGTGTAATATCAACCCGCTTTTGAACTGGGCTACACATTGGCTATCCACTTATTTGAAGTTCCAGTGGTTCCTTGACGAAACCTGCCTCTTCACAAGAATACACCATCGTCATTGATTTATACACAATTTCCAACCGTGACAATTTCACTGTTTCATGTTCACGCAGGTGGCTTTGGGTGCTCAGTAGGTAGATGCCTGAATTGAATTGCAAGTGTTCCCATAGATTTCAGATGCTGTATTCATTGTGTTATGTATTCCATATGTTATGTACTTGTTCTCTCACTCTATTTTAGTTTCTACCAACCTCTCTCGTAGTCGATACAGAGTGTCAATACAATGCCCCCATAGGTAGCGCCCAAACAACTGATTTAATTTGGGAATTGGCTGCTTGGCACAGCATACTGCTACGTATACCTGATCTGACTTGAATGACTTACACGGCGACACAATCCAACTTGACCACTAGATTCAGTGTTGTGCATTAATTTCTGTGTTTCTCAACGCGATGGACTTGAAGCATAGTTCCATTGAGTTGCTTCTGCTCACAGGTCAAATGGTTTAAAGCAATGGAAATATACTCATTGAATGTTGAACATTGGTTTCAAGTCACGGAATGTGGTGGGCTCCCAGTTATAAATCCCAACAGTGTTCATAATAGTAAATGAGCATGCCGTGAGCCCTTATGTGCCTCTTAAGTATATCCCACCTTGGCTTGACATTGGCTTAAGCCAATGTTTGGGATAAAGATATCGAAGCAATCTAGGGGTCTTTTTGAGTCTGTACAATGTATTGAGGGTACTGAATACACTATGAATAGTTTCCGAAGTCGGCTGGCCAAGATTCAACGAATGGGAGGTGATGCGGCAGTGGATGCGTCAATTATCCCTCTGATGCGGCAGTGCTGCGGCACTGATGCGGCAATTTGCGTCACTTGCGTCACTTTTACCCAGCCCATCATTCTCGATGCTTCTCGATGCCCCTCAATTGGCCTAGACAAAAACCAATCCTCCCAAGTCTCTAGTTCCAATCGTCCCCCGCAACAACGTGGATACCCGCTCATCCGCGTATCAAAGCACAGTAAGCTTGCACTGTCAATGCTACTCTAATAGGGGTAGCATTCGGAACCACGAGAATATTTGTATGATAGGGGCAGGTGTGCGAGGCACCGTAACAACTTACTGACGCGATGTCTCAGAAGGATTACCGACAGAATATGTCCGACTACTGACAGAGTGCGAACACGCGACTGTCAACAGAATACAAACGACACACCATTACTGACACAACAGGATTGCAACAGTCTCAACATCGGAACGACTGCTAACGACTGCCGACAAAATACGTCCGACTCCTGAGTAGGTCCTGACAGAATCTGTTTAATCATGAGGTCGTTGATCTGACAAAGTTCAACTCAACAACAGACTACAAGTATGCAACCGTTCTCGCCCCTATCGAAGAAGCCGATCTCTGAATACGACAGAGACGCGGATTCTCGGTGTCTGTAATAGCGATAGCGCGAACACTGTTGAGCACAAATAAATAACTTTCTTCTGGGCGATTGGCGGCACCAAACACGGCACCGCCAGCATGACTGCACCAACCTCAAAAACGCCGTGGCCTGTCAATGATCTGGCGGCTCGACAGGGTTGGCTCCGCCTTTTGCCAGGGCTGTTACAATTGAGAATCTTGAGAAGAGACATCAAAACAAGAAAAGATGGAATGCTAACGGAAAAAAGCGGAATTGCACCTTGCACATGGCCATCGTGGGGGTCGAACCCAAGACCTTCGCGTAATACTTTCCAAGGATCTTGATCATATTAGCACGACGCTCTAACCAACTGAGCTAGACGGCCGGTAGCATGCCTCTGAACGGCGTAGTGTGATCGCTGTGTTCTACTGACAGATTCAATGGAAGATCCATCCACAGAAACCACGTTCAACAAGACAGCTTTGCCTCTTGCGTCCTTCCGTTGTCCAGCTGCCCTTCGGCTCAATTTCTGGTATGATCAAGTGCGCGAGTGCTGTGTTGCTTTCTATCGTCCTTTGGCATTTCTTTTGATTGAAATGCAATTTACATTTCACTCTAAAAAGTTGAAGGCCGATGATGCTCATATATTTTGCTGCCTATATTGCATGGTTCCGCTGAGCTACTTACAACATCGGGTGCCCAAAAAGATATGTCCGACTACACCAAACCATCACTCACTGGCAGGCGTGAATCGAACAGACTGAATTTGCTTCATGTGATTACACAGTTTGCTGGGATGATGAAGTACTGGTGTGCATGCGCACATGCGCTTCCGGGCCTCACAAGACGGGTTCACAGGCCCGGGCTCGATGTATTTGGGAGAGTTTTTCTTCCCAGATCAGTCCCGCGCCTTAATCTACTCGAGTTGATTGTGAAGTTCTCCGCGGTCAAGATTTTCATGTTCAGCTCCATTCTTTCTACAAGAAAAAAAAGAAAGAAAAAACTCGATCTCGGGAATGCACAGGTGCCCATCTTTGCCAATGTGGCCGGGTAACTGATTATTCTGATATAGGTCGGTCCTGATTTTGACACGGAACTAGCACGGAACTCGGGCAGGTTAAAAATATAGGGAAAGTCCGGCTGATACGGATGGTTTCTATTGTATGACTTCCCCAGAGGGCTCATGTGATTTCCTTGCGCACACGGCCCGGGGTAAAACAGCGACTTGAACGATGCGCGCTTGGTCCCCCTGCCACGATGCATCCTTGTTTTGTAAGGAACCCTGCACGTTCGTCGTTCGTCGACAGACAAATTTAAACCCGTCTACATTCTCAACAGGAATTCCGTATGTCTTTCTCAACCACTGGGTCGACGCAAGGAGATTCCAGTTGCTCCGACGTCGCCGGAAGATTCGCGACTGTTTGAATTAGCAAGATTCAGATGCCTTCAAAATGTACATATTAAACGGACATAGCTTGCGGTCCGTGCTATCCGAGATTTACGGTCGCTGCCGTAAACGGGGCAGTGTGCAACACTGCTACCCATGTCATTCTCGGCGAAAAAAAAACTCGTCATCTTCCCGAGAATGGCCTGTCTTTCTTCGCTTCTTCATTTTGGTTTTATTTTTCGAACGTTGAAGCACCATTCATCATAAGTACTTCAAAGAGTAATAAACCAGAATTGAGAAAGGAACGAAGTAAGTAGAGTGCAATTTTTCCCCGGTCCGGTATGCTTCCGAGCGAACATATTCTGCATTCATTACGGGGAAAATAAACCAGATGTTTGACCTCGGGTATCAAAACACTGATGCCGTAAGTCATCTCTCTTGCTCTCGACTCTCATCTGGTATGTACTATTTTTGCGCATACGGTACGCGGGCGGCAATCTCGACACAGGAACCGTATCCGACTCGGAAGAATCTTCGCGATGAATGCGGCGCGACTGGCTCGGACTGGACCATTCTGTAGACATTGCTGTCAAGTCTCCCCATAAAACGGAGCTCACTATACACTACCCGCATCGGGTGCAGAAAAAACCTCATCCTTGTTTCCTTCTCTTGCCATGAAAACTCGAATCCTCAGCCTACTTGTGGGTGCGGTACTGTGGTGTGCAAAACCGACACTCGCTGCCGGTCAGCCGCTTCTCTCGACGATGGTGAAATTTGCTTACAACTCAATATCCAGATTGTCGAACTGCGACCGTTGCCTCTGGGAATGACTGTTTCTCGATTGCCCAGGCTGCGAAGATAACCACCGACCAGCTGTTGTCCTTCAATCCAGGGCTGAACTGCAGCGCGCTTGCCATCGGTGAGTGAGCTTCTAGCCATGAACCTCATTTTTGCTTCGCTCAGATCTGGATTGCTAGGCCAAAAACTCTGCATCAGTGCGGGAACGCTCCCGGGACAGCCTCATCAGAACCCCGACGGTTCTTGCGCGACGGTATTTGATTACTATCAGCCTCAGCGGCCATCGTTCCCAAACTCATTTAAACATAGTACAAAACGGTGGCAGGAGACTCGTGCTCCGCAATCGCTGTCAAATTTTCGATAACCACCGCTAACATAGAGACCTGGAACGCAAAAACCTTTCAGTGGAAGGGTACGCTGGAGCACTGCGTTCAGATAAAAAAAATTGTCTCATCAGGAATCAGGATGCGCTGTCATTCAAGTAGGCTTCACGATGTGTGTATCTTCGGGGACACCTCCTCCACCTCCGTACGTTTCCTCAGCCTTTGAAAATCGGCTTCTCGTCGATTGAGCTGAAACAATTACAACAGTATCATCCCGGGCACCCAATGCGGGCCCCAGAGTACAGGTAATGCTACCTGTCCCCTGAACGCTTGCTGCAGTGCTTTTGGCTTCTGCGGCCTAACAAACGACTTCTGTGCAACTACGGTGCGCATCGCAGAACGAGTGATTGCATGTAATTGGCTTACGAGTCGCAGGGAACAAACCCATGTATATCGCACTGCGGACTCCCCACCCTCCCGAGCTGTGCATCCTCGCGTGCAATGAGGAAAATCGGGTACTATGCCGGGTGGGGAAATCGCCGCGCGTGTGGCGTGAATGTCGCGCCGGACCAGATCGACTGGACGGGGTTTACCGGCGCGCACTTTGCCTTTGCGAGCATTTCGCAGGGGCTGCAAATTCGTGGGTGCTCGCTGGTGCGCTTTCTCGCAATTTTGCTGAGGATGTATTTGCAGAGCTTGATACCGTCGACGCCCCGCTCCTCAGCGCGCTCGTAGCGCAGAAGAAACGGTATCCTGGACTGCAAGTCATCATCGCGGTCGGCGGGTGGGCGTTCTCGTGAGCGTTATTTTCTTGTGTATTTTCTTCATAGCCCTTGCTGATTCGACTCTACTTCTTCAAGTGAAGCTGACCCGACTCGCGATTTGTTCTCGTTCATGATTTCGACCAGCAGTACACGAGCTACCTTCATCTCATCTGTGAAAGAGTTCTTGACGCAGTTCGGGCTCGATGGAATTGGCAAGTCATTTATGCCCGGCGAGCACCTATAGTGAGCTGATTTAGTTCCTTAGACATTGATTTCGGTAAGCGGATTCGGGACGCTCCCAGTCTCATCCTGATAACTTTGTTCAGAGTATCCTGGGGCAACGGAGCGCTCCGCTCCTGCCACCGGTCGGTTGACCCTTTGACCCGCGTTAGCATCTCAACTTACGCTTTGTACAGACACCCCCAACTTGACCTCATTTTTCCGAGAGCTGAGAGCGGCCCTTCCGACGCAGATAATCTCGTGTGGTAGGTTTGAATTGCAGCGCAGTTGGGCACGTTCGTCTGACTATCCAAAGCCACACCTGCTGGCTATTGGTTCCTCCGGGGATTCGAGATCGACAAGATTGCGGCAAGCGTGTCGTATTTGAACATGATGTGTAAGTAGGACGACAATTAATTTCAATCGTCTCCTGCGCTTACTGACACACTTTTTTTCAGCATACGATTATCATGGCCCCTGGGACACAAATGTAACGGGACAAGCATCCGCCGCCAGCCCACATACGTCTATCCTCGATATGCACGACAGCGCCGCCCTCTATGTCCGTGCGGGGATCAATCTCGCTAATGGTCAGTGGGAGATGACCGCCCATAGTCTTGTCTGACCTGAAATGTGTATTCAGTGAATTTGGGTGCGCATTGCTTCACAGTGCAGGACCAAGCTATCCAAATGCTGAGATTTTCTGCAGGACTGGCATACTACGGCCGCGATTTTCAACTCGCTTCTGCCTCCTGTACAGGATACAACTGCACCATGACTGGCGGCGGATTTGCAGGGAACTGTACTTCCGCCTCGGGGATTCTCGCGCAGTTTGAGATCGACAGTCTCGGCGCCGCCCCGACTTTGGACAAGGCAACTCAAACCTACTGGTTCGACAAGTCGGTAAGGAGGACGGTGTCGGTCGTTATTCTCTGTTATTGACTTTGCTCCGTACCAGGGTTCACTTGTAACTTTTGACCAGAAGGATACCTGGGCGTACGTGGTTTTTATACCTGCTCGTAAGCGATTGTTCAATTTGGAGTCAGAGCCAAAACATCGTTTGCCGCAAGCAGTTGCTTCGGGGGAACGTTCATATGGTAATGTATTCTTTTCCACGGTAATCCTCTTTGGTGTTGAGCATTTCGACTCCGCAGGTCGTTGGACCAGGTCACGTCAAATCCAGGTGCTGGCGGTGGTATTATTTCAAGTGGTGGTACTTCTGGCTCAGGATCAGGCCACGGTAGTGGCGGCACCTTCACGTTCGTGGAGTGGAGTGCGTGTTGAATATCCCTCATGTCCTGATTTTAATCCGTTCACATTCACAGATCCGAACCCCTTCCCGTCTCCGAATGCTGTGTCAGAGACGTTTGTCCAATCTCCGGGCGTGGTTCTGTCCACTGCGACCTCAGTGGTCTCGAAAAGTACTCTCACAACGACCCAGACCCTCGTCATACCGGCTTTCACGACTGTTACCACCTCATTCACCGCCGTCTCTGGGACGTTCCGAACGATAACTGGAACCCACACCGTTCTTGCTACCACATCGACGGAAACGGTCACCGTCACGAAAGGTTCAACAATCACGTCAGTCACCGCTGTGACCAAGACTGCGACCACTATTGTCATTCCCGTACCAAAAACAACGACAACTGTTAACGTCGAAGGCGTTATTCTCACTCTGAACTCCGGCGGCACTCCCATCAATTCTCCGGTTCCAACATACATCTCACAGCCAAGTGCAATCACACCTACATTCAGTAAATTCGCGTTTTTTTTTCAGTCTGACGATCGGCGCTAATACAACTACCATAGCCCAGAACGTGTCACCAACTCCAAATGCAACCATCATCGTCTACACCGCACCGCTCACTTCTCCAGTTACTTGGTCTTCGAC